CAGACCAAAATTGGAAGTGCTCCAGCTTTTAGGGCACCCACCTTGCAGACTAGAATCGTGCTGGCTGCATCTCACTTCCATTATTTATGGCAGGATTCCAATATTAGGATATTAAATTATATGGAGATTGTGTCCCAATCCCCTGATTGATTCCAAGTGAATTTGAGTCACAGCAGCTTGAAAAGTAACTTTTTCTTTTGTCTCTTTATGACTTAATACCATGGAGAAATAAATGTGCAGTGACAGCCACACACAAGGTCCCCACAGATGCAGGGGCTGCCTTTGCTTTAAATCCTTTCTCTGGCAGTAATTTTAAGAGAGCAGTTCATAACTCAAAACCAGTTTACCCATAATTCTCAATTAAGGGACCACAGAAGCATGTCAACCACAGATGCCTGAAGAACAGGCAGAATGGCGATTCTGCCCCATTCCTGGAAACTCCACGACCATCAATGCCACGCCACGGAAACCATGATGGGCCAGTGTGTTCCCTTTCCACTGTTGAGTATGGATCAATACTCAGAAACTGCTCAAGCCAAGGCAGTAAAACTTCTGAGGAGGCTTCACAGCCTATAGCTGTGAACGCCGTGGGATCACCACTTGGACACAGGTTGCACATTGCAGAGTTCAGATGCCAGCACAGGGCTGGGCCCCAGGCCAGCAATGAGCAGCTGGGCTTGCACTGGAGAAAGGCTGTTGGGAGGCAAGGCCAGGCAGTAAGCTCGTTAACGTTCCCCTGCTTCTCTCTCCAGATGTCTGTCCTACCCATGGGGGTGCTATTGTTAACATTCACCTTAGGTAAGGAGTCAGCCATAAGGTCAGAAATGTGCCCAGACCCCAAATAAAGTTGAGCCTGAGTCTGCAAGTATCTGAGATTTGACATTGCGATAGTTTCTAAACCTATTTGTGCCTCTCCTTTTTTGGACCATGGAAATGGGGCAAGGCCCCAGGGCCGTTGAAGGAAGCACCAGGATGCAGAACAAGGCAATGCACAGAAGGTGTGATCAGATTCAAAACTCCCAGGCTTGACTTAGACTCACAGAGTCCCAGAATTCCCACTGCCCACCTTGCCGAGCTTCCTGCAGATCCAGCTCTGGTCCGCAGAAGCTCCATCTTTGCCTACAGCCTCTCCTTCCTGTTTCTGTGGTTTCTCCACCAGCCAGGAGGCCCAGAGCTTCTGGGAGTACCTCCAGAGTCCAAGAAGTAATGATTCAGTCTTGTTGTTTAGACAGACGGCAACCTCCTTCTAGACCCTTACTTTGTAAACATCACACTGTCATTGCTGGATTTCTCACTCGGACCCCAAACTGTTATGTTAGTTCCTGGTTATCTCTGCCTGCTAAGAAGCCACATTTGGCCATTGTCTTTGTCTTTGGACACTAATAGTAAATGGTAAACCCTAAGGATGTTGGAGGGGGCAGGAAGGAATCATACATGTTGCAGAGCAGATGCCTGGGCCCAGTAAGCACTGCTCTGAAAGTCCCACAGGCCCCTTGGCCAATCAAGGCTCCCGCTTCCATCCTTGTGAGTGCCGAGGAACATAGCTTGAAAACTCAGCAAAAATGAGTCTAGCTAACCCTGCTATTGTGAGTCCTTCTCAGAATGACCACACATTTCCTCTACAAAAAAAAGTGCTGTCTACAACTGTAAGTTAGACATAGGGTCATATTTCATTAATATTTAGTATACACAAAGAATACTATGAAGTGTGTTCTTTGAACTTCACAAGCTCTCTATTATAAGGCCTTGGATGACAACAGCCTTCAGACTCAGGCCCAGCAGTCGGGAGCTTTTAGTTCTCTGTATCCAGTGAAGACTCCTCAGGTGCCTAGGCTAGGTGGTCCCGCTGCAACCCTGTGTGGTTCACACTGGTGTGACAGAGCCTGCAGTCCTGCTGCCCTTGCCGTTCACACCCCTTTCGTGGGCTGCTCCTGCCCAACAGATCAAGTCATGGTCACGGTGAGCACTGACCTACAGCAGTGGCTCTTGACCTTACTAATGCTGGGACCCTCCTCATGCTGTGGTGACCTCAACCGTAAAATTTTACGTTGCTACTTCAAAACTGTAGTTTTGCTACTTTTATGAATCATATTGTAGATACTTTTGGATATAGAGGCTTGTCAAAGGGGTCATGACCCACAGGTTGAGAACGGCTGGTCTACAGTTAGGAGAAATGGAGAGATATCCCCTTGCTAAGAGGCCCCTTACAATACCAGAAGATGTAAAAGTACCTCCTCTTTAAATACAAATTCAGTACCCTGCCCCATCTAGAGGTTTGCTGTCCACATGTACCTCCCATCTAAAAATATTAACTGGAAAGTTCCAGGAATAAACAGCCTATAAATTGTAAATGCTGTGCTATTCTGAATAGCATGCTAAAGTGTCACCTAGTGTCACCTTACTCTGTCCTGCTCTGGGTTGTCCTTTGGTTCAGTATCCACACTGTACGTGCTGCCCACACATTTAGTCATATAGTAGTAGCCTTCTCAGGTGTCACACTGGCTGCCACAGCATCACAGCTTGTTTCAAGTAACCATGCTTTTGCTTAATAGCCCCAAAATGCAAGATGGCAGAGCACTTGAAAAGACAGACGAACTCCATTGCTGTGTGGCAACACCTCAGGGCGCTTGGGAAAGCAGAGTCCATGGAGTTGGTATACACAGGGGAAACGTGGTGTTCGTGGCATCTGTATACACAGGGGAAGCATAGAGTTCCTGGGGTTGGTGCAGTCAGCTTCAGGTGTCCACTGGGGTTATGGCTGTCTTGTTCATGGGTAAGAGGGGCATCTTAGTACAATGTAACCTTTACTTGTAGTGAGCATTACAGACGGCTTCAGTCAGCGTTGTCCCATATCCATACACACACAGTACACTGCCTTGGTCCTATAAATTGCTTTAAAAAAAAACTGTCATCCACATTATAAAATTCTCCCTTTCAAAGTAATTCAGTGGTTGAAATATTTTCAAGAGGTTATACACCATCACCATTATCTAGGAGCTGGCCATTTTTGTTTAGCATTTCACAGAGAATCCCTTACCCATGGCACCAGTCCTCCTGTCAAGCTCTGTCAGGGATCCACTGTGGGGCTCTCACTCTGCTTACTCTGGACAGTTTGTATGCACGGGGTCTTATGTTTTGTGGCCTGTTGTCTGTCTTCTCTCACCTAGCTTCATGTTTTCATTAGCATTGTAGTCAGAACTCACACCTTGTTCCTTTTTACGGCTGGATACTGTTGCATGGATAGACCTCTGGTTCACTCCTACGCTAGGCCACCGGTGCAGATGTGTGTTTTCCTTTCCCTTGGGTTCCATCTAGACTGAAGTCTCTGGCTTGTGGTAGCTGCATGTCTGACATTTTTTGAGGAATTACCAGTATTTCACAGTAGCACTGCATGAGAGTTCCCATACCTGGAGAGGCGAGTGAGTGCTTGTTGCACTCTGACTGTTTTTATAGACACCCTACTGCGTGTGACAGTGCTTGGTTTCTCTTTTAACAGGGAAAACTATAGTTTTTTGTTTTTTTTTTAGTCAACAAACAATTAGCAGTAGTTACCAAAGAGGTTTATCAGAGTTCACTCATCAGTGTTCCTCCTGTTTGATTTTCATCTCATCTCTTGATGATTCGTAAATAAAGATTTTGGAAATAGTGAAATCCGATTTTCCCCCCACATTCTAGACACGTCTTTTATTTTACCTTCAAGTAAATGAGCTCAGGTACAGAATTTGAGGCTCCTGGCTCCTACTCTCCGTGTTTCAAAGATGCCAGGCCTTTGGCCTGATTGTCGTCTACTGTAGTAGTGTCACCATGTTGTCTTCCTGTGGGAGTTTCATTCCCCTCCCCTTCGATGTCCCAGTTTTACTGTGCTATATATCGGTGCGGAAATTTGTGCCCCCCCACAGTCTTTCTCTGAGGACCCTTATCTTCATCCTTTTCAGAAAAGTGTCAGCTAATATTCTCACTCTTTTCTGTATTATTTCTTCCTTTCTCTTTTCCCAGGTTCTGTTCCTAACCCCCCAAACACCCCTTAGTTCTCGGGGTTCCATGTTCATTTTGTATCTGGTGTGTCTCCTGATTTGTTTCCTTGATTCTTTTTTCCTGTTTGCTCATTTCTGTTTTGATCGTTGCCTAGTAGACTTTACTCCCTTTGTTCTACTGTGAGTTTTAGTGTGTATCTTAATACACCATTTCTGAATTATCATTATTTCCTATTATTCAATTTTTGTCTGTTTTCCATTAATGGGTCTTATTTTTATGACCGTTAGTCTTTCTTAAGGATTCTGATATACAAACAGTATTTATTTTAATCCATGTCAGGCACTTTTTGTAATTAATCCTCCCTGGAGTGAACTCCTGCCCTGACTGAGCTGTCTAGACTGCCTTACTTAGCAAGAAATGTCTTCAATGGAAGATTGTTTTTCTCTTTTCTGACTTTCATTCTTTCTTCTGGTTCAGTGTGAGTAATTAGGACTTTCTGGTTTTGTTCTGGCCTCATGCTCCCATCTAGTGGTTTTGGTTACCCTACCCTCCCCAGCACACACACACACACACACACACACACACACACACACACACACACACACACTCATCCACACCTGACTTCATTACCATTTAGAGATCCACTGTACAATCTGGGACCTGAGCCTGAATCTGCTGTCCTTTCTAGAACTTTAGGTTGTGATACAGCTCAGAGGTACTCTGGAGAACTCCTAAGTCCATGTGCTTATGTGCATGCCTGCAATGAGAATTGCACTTGGGGCTCCCACATGCTAATGAAATGACTTACACACTCTACTGCTGAGCTACACTCCCAGCCCCATGACTCCTACAGCTAAAGGAACACTGTGAACTCATTGTCAATGAGCTACTATGAAAAGTTCAATTACTGCATTCTCCAGCAGTTAGCATTAATGTTAATATCATTCACAGAATCAAACTTTGGTGCCCACAGGTAACCTATGCGGATGTCCTAGGCCCCTCTAATGTCTTTCCCTTCCCTGCAGGTATCAGAGCTGTGTTCTCGGGCCACTACCACAGGAATGCTGGGGGAACCTACCAGGATCTTGACATGGTGGTTTCATCTGCTATCGGGTGCCAGCTAGGCAAAGACACCCATGGGCTTCGTGTGGTGGTCATCACTGCTGAGAAAATTGTCCACCGTTACTACAGCTTAGATGAGCTGAGCAAGAGAGGGATTGACGACGACCTGAAGGAGCTGATGAAGGAGTGATTCCCCCACATAATCCACCCAGTTTTCATGCCCATGACCTTTTACCTTGCCATAATGTTTACAGCCCCTCATAGCAACGTCTGAGTAGACAGGCAGGTTCGTGAATGGATGTCGTTTTATATAAATCAAAGTGCTGGGTCCTATCCTCAATTATATTCAGAATGGGTTGTCTTCCCTTTAAAAAGCCAGGGAAAAAAGGCTGTGGGTATTTCTAATTATGGTGTGCAACTCTCCACATGTGTGGGTGAACTCTCCTACTGTGCTGCTCTCACTCGGCCCTTGAGTCCCACTGTTTCTGATGTTGACAGTCGATACCTCCTGACACCTCCTGCCCTCCATCCAGCTCAGTGCTCACGTGTGATCTTTAGTAATTCCTCAACCAAACTGCATCCGCTTTTGTTAAATTGTGGTCATGACTGCCAGAACACTGTGAAAACCAGGGTCCCTCCTCCCTTCCCGGCAGACCAAATAGTATCACTCCATCCCAGGGCCACAGATTCCTCATAAGAGGGAGCTGCGTAGCCATCACTGGCTGTGAACTTCAATACCTCTGTTACTGCTGATGGTGTGAGCACAGGTGGTTCACGTGAGGATGTGTTTGCCTTTCTGATGACAGATGTCACCTTCGTGCATAGGCCCTATGTTCCAAATGACCAGAAGAGAGGCTGCAACAGAAAGGCCCTGGGCAGCACCTGCATCTGCCCTGTCTGTATCCTTCTGCTGCAGGCAGCCCACGGCATTATCGGATCACAGTGAACCTGGTGGGAAAATGGACTTGCTGCAGACTTCTCCAGAGAACAACACAGGACTGTCACTGGGCAAACTACACCGTGTTAATTGTCACTGACATACAAAGCCCCTGGACAAAAAAACAAACAAACACCAACAAAAATAGCAGTGGGAGTCGCTTAAAATCCTCTTCACTGTCGAATCTGTTCTGCTGCCTCATTTTCTGGGATCCCTGACCTCTGTGGCTCTTCCTCCATGAATCTTCTGGCCTGATGCTCAAGTAACCAGAGCTCTATATCCTGCTGCAGAAGTTTACAGTGTCCTGCAATAGCACGGGGGAATCCTAGACTAGCTTTAAAAACTCACTGGTTATAAATGAACCGCAAAACCCATTAAATTAAAAAAAATTTCTTGTTAAAAAGTTTTAGTCAGTGTAGCAAAACCATGAGAAATTAAATAAAAAGATAATTGGATATGTAAATTCATATGGAACAAAAGATACAAGAAGTTAATTATGTTACAGACTGGTGACATACCAGAGCTCATTGTTAGGTAGCACAAGAAAATTAATTTTTTTCAAACCAGAATGATCTTATAGTGCTTGGGCTATGTTCCTGATTTTCATTTTTCTTTATAGCAAGATGTCAGAGGTCAGAGGAGTGTAATGAGGGGCCTAACTAATAGTCCAATTGTTCCAGACTGAGTACTGCAACCCCTGGACCCAAAAAATGTGTGGGCTTGACTTCATGCTGGAAGAAAGTTTAATTACAGTGGGTTGAAGGCATGTCCTTTGTCCAAGATCCATATGAAAAAAATGCAGCATCCCCAGAATGGGGACAAGGATATGGCATAGAGCAATAGTAATAAAGTAAGTCCTTGTCCCCCAAACACAGGAATTAAAACCTGATTCAGAAGCCTGAGAAAATACTAAAGAAAGGAGTGGTGTGGCGTTTCCAGTTTTCAGTGGAGCAGCTGTATCAAGGTGGGGCTTGCTGCTGTGGGGAACAAATGCATATCCATCTAACTAAGATGGCATATCAATATTCCATTCACTCATATGCCTTTTTGGAAAAAAAGAATCTCTATTAAAAGAAAAAATAATAAAGACTTCCTATGTGCACATGCTGTGTTTTTGAATGTTCTTTTGGTCTCTGATGTTTTAGCTCTGGAAGGCCCAGGCATGGAAGGACATGGATTCAGGCAGCTCTGTCCCCAAGCATCAGATGGGGCATTATTCTTTGATGCTGCTGTGGTTTTGATTTGGGTGTGGCTTGTCCTCAGATGACTGTACTTAGAAGTTTGGTCCTCATGAAGTTGTGACAAGGTCTTAGTGGGTAGTTCTTAGGTCATTCTTGGGGCCCCAGTTGCTCTCTGGCTTCCTACCTTACAGAGTGTTCTCTGGCCACTGTAATATTATCTACCAAGAAGTCTTTAACAGGGCCACCATATCTGCCCTTGAAGGCCCAGAACAATGAAATAAACCTCTTTGCTTTATGAAGTACCTAACATCATGTATCTCATAGAAACAGACTAATACACTCTTTGCTTAAAGTTACGTCCCCATGGATTCAGAAATGTCAGTCCTTGCTCCCTTCCCATTAGTCACTTTAATTAGAACGTCAAGGGGCCACTAAAGAGGAAAAGTTATTTAAAGTGGTCTCAGATTGTCTGGCTGGGTGACGACCATCTTAACTGCATTTTTTTACAGGTTGTGGGGGGTACAGGTGAGAAGGGAGTGAATTGTGTGTCTGCCAAACAGAACACACTGCCTGTCTTAAACATCTGTCTTAGGGGAGTGTCGGCTGCGAATGGAGAACTACAAGGCAAAAGACTAGTTCTAAGCCCAAACAAATGCCTAGGGCCACTTGTCTCACAGTTGTGGATGCCACACACATGACATGGTTCTTGAGCAAAGTCTTTGAAGAAGAGGCAGCAGAAGCATGGTTTGCCTGGACTTGAACTCTCCGTTCTTACCCTCTAAGCAGCGTCTGCAGCAGCTCTGCAGTCACGGAGTAAGCATGGCAGTGCTCTGAGCCAGGAGCAGGCTCTGAGAATGCTCTCCATAGTAGACACTGAGGGAGAGGTGTTCTTCTCACATAACCGTAACAGCTTAGCTGCACACACCACAACCCACTTTGGCTGGTGATTTTATGTATATGTATACATAAAATGCTGTTTTGTCATCAAGAGAGGGCTGTGTGTGTGCGTGCGTGCATGCATGCATTCATATAATTTTTTAATACAGCATTTATCCAAAAAAATCTATTGACTGGGTTCTCTTTCCCCCATTCAGCTTCTATTTCCTTATTTTAAAACTCACAGCACTTACAGTCTTCCCTTGCATGTTTTTAGCTTGTAAATAAATGTGATCGAATAATGATGTGACCTCTCATTATTCCATTGGGCATCTTTAACAGTAATCTTTCTCATTCTGAGGGCTTCAACATAAAGGCTTTATTGAACTATCAGGCCACACTCACTATGTCCTGTGTCTGCCTCCCAAGCCTGTCTCTGCACAGTTTTGCTGGCTGTCCCTAGTATCCAGGCCTCCACACTGGCTCTTTCTTGTGACAGCCATTGGTATCTTGTTATTGTTTTCTCTCAGTTCAGCAGTCATTCCAAGAGTGGTCTTTCTGTAGCACATAACCAAGTCCTTCTCTCTCCCTCTCTCCCTCTCTCCCTCTCTCCCTCTCTCCCTCTCTCTCTCTCTCTCTCTCTCTCTCTCTCTCTCTCTCTGTCCCTCTCTGTGTCTCTGTGTGTGTGTGTGTTGTAGTATACTAACAAATGTGCTTGATTGACAACCAAAAGATCGTTAAAAGTCACCTCACCAGGATGCAAGCCACAGGACACCAGGATCATTCCTGTTGCCTGTGCCCAGCACTGTGCCTGAAGATGTACCATAGCCTGGCTGCTCACAGAATAAAGTGAGAGAGTAAAGCTAGTGTAGTAGTTTGAATGGAATTGGCCCCCATAATCTCTTAGGAAGTGACACTATTAGGAGGTGTGGCTTTGTTAGAGTGGGTGTGGCCTTGTTGGAGGAAGTGTGTCACTGTAGGGATGACGTTGAGGTTTCCTATGCTCAGGATACTTCCCAGTGTCTCAGTCAGCTTCCTATTGCCTACAGGATGCAGGACTCTCATCATGCTCCCTGTCATGATGATAATGGACTGGACCTCTAAAACTGTAAGTGAGCCACCCCAATTAATGTTTTCATTATAGCAGTTGCCGTGCTCTGGTGTCTCTTCACAGCAGTAAAAACCCTAAGACAGCTGTACAGCATTGACAATAACAGGCAGTCAGTATGAGCCCTCAGTACTCGAGAGGAACTAAGGAAGGAGTCATAGTCCTTAGCCTTGTGGTACAGGTTGGATAGCCCTTATCTACAACAAAATGCTTCACATTTCAGGTTTTTTTTTACATTTCATTTGTTTTGTTTTGGTGAGGCAGGGCCTCATGTAGCCCAGGTTACTCTGGGACTCAGCTATGTAGCCAGAGATAACTTTGAACTCTTGGCTCTGGGATTCTAAGCAGGTGCTACCACACCAGGCTCTCAACTTTTTGGATACTCCCATATGCACATGGTTGCACATCCTAATCCAAATGTCCAAATTTAGCCATTTTCTGTGCTAGAAAAATTTGGATTTCACATATCCAGAGCAGGGATGCTCACTCTGATTCTTCCAAATTGTTACCCAAGCTATATGTCATCTGGAAGACAGAAAATAAGCAGCACCCCACTTTTATCCTTGGTCCTGGAGCACAGTGAAGACATCGGAGAGAGTAACAAAAGTGTCTCGGGCCCCAGATCTGAGCCTGATTTCCTGAGTGAGTATAGAGCAGTAACCAATGCAGAAGAGCCAGAGAAGGGGCTGACCCCAGCCTGGTAGCCATGGGCAGCAACTAAAGAGAAGGGCAATCTATATTAGGTGCAGATGCTGCCCAGCGAGCCTCCTGAGTGAGAGGAGCAGCTCTGCAGAGAACCAGGGAAAGCTCAGAAGCTGTTGGACCAACAGCAGCTCCCGTGTTTGAGTGAAAATGGGAGACAGAATGTCACACTGTGCCTGAGCAGGAAGGAGAGCAGCTCATGCCACCTGGGTATTCCTGGGCTGAGTCTCCATAGAGCAGCTGCCTCCAAGAAAGCATACCTGAGATTTGGGGAATGGACAAATTCAGAGCACTCAAGACCTAAAGGACAGTGCTGCCAAGAATGTGAAAGTGCAGATGTCATCAAGAGGCTGTGACCATCCAGGTGTGCATGAAGAGATAGATGAGTCAGCAGTTAAGTGCAGTACACATATGTAGTATGTACGTGTGTATATTTCAGCCTTTAAAAGGATGAGTTCCCGGGATAATGAACCTGGAGTATATTATGCAATGGGATGTTGCATGATGTCACATATGTGTGAAATGTAAATATTTAAAAAGTAAAATGGCTGGAAAGATGGCTTAGGACTTGAAGTTTTTGCCACACAAGCAGCAAGGATGAAGACTGGAGCTTGGATCCCCAGAAACAGTTAAAATTCAAGTGAACATGGTAGCCCGCCTATAATCCAGTCCTCAGAGAGTGGAGATTGAGTGGATAGGGCAGGCTGGGTAGCTGTTTGGGTGAGCTCTGGGTTCAATTGAGAGAGCCCAGCTCAACATAAAAAGTGAAGAACAATTGAAGGACAATCCCATCATCAGCCTGGGACCTCCACATAACTGCACATACACATAGGCTCACACATGCATGCACACCACACAGAAATACAAAGAGAAATACATAAATATAGTACAAAGCAGTGGTTCCAAGGGCGGAGAGGATGGGGGAGGTGTGGTCAGGGGGTACAGAGTCACTAATGAGCAAAATGAGAAAACTGGAATCTCAGGTAAAACACAAGAACATCTGAGTGGATCACAGCCATTCTTACCACCAGGAAGAAAAGGGGCCCCTGAAATGATGGGCTGGTTCCAGTCGTCCACCTTAGTAAGCACACATGTAAGAGAGTAAGAGAGACAGAGTGGAAACTTTTCAAAAGGGAGCAACATTGTTTTTAGCTGACAGCATCATGGGATCCATAGTTTTGCACTGTGGGGTCTGTGCCCATGGTGAAGCAGAGCTTCACAGTGGTGGGTGGGAGCATGTGGCAGAGGCTGCTCACCTCACGCAGACAGAAAGCAGAGAGGAGAAAGGACAAGAGGACCCTCTAAAGCTGGCAGCTGCTACACCTGGGCCCCACCTCCTCAGAGTTACATAACCTCCCCAAACAGTGTTGCTAGCTGGGGAGCACTTCATCTTCCAGCCACAGCAAGATGTGCACCTCACAGTATCCTGTTGGGTACCATAAGTACTACAGTTGGTTTTATTTTGAAACAAAATATTTTTAAATCAAACTCAGAAAAGAATTGGCATGGGAATGAATTGTAACCCTTCTCTCTCACCAAGATGTTGCCCTGAGGACAAACCACTGTTGTTAAGCCAAGACTTAGGAATAAATAATAGTTTTTGCAAATACTTGCTGTTGCTTAGACCAAAGAAACCAGACAAAGGAGCCCAGGTCACTGGAGAGTAAGTGAAAAATCCCGGAGGCAAAAAGACCAGGGATGGAAACCTGATTATGTACGAAGACTTCACACAAATCTCTGCCTTGCCCCCAAAGCATGTGTGAGCCAAACAGGCAAAATAGAAAAAGCTGCAAAGATTGGGACAAGATGTGACCACTGTCTAGAACAAGCAACAGGGTGTCTAACCTGGTCTCCTGCTAAGGCAAAAGTTCAGCAGTCTTCAGAAGAACATAACAGAACCCAGATGCTGTAGAGAGGAGCATCACAGTGCACAAGATACAACTCCAGAGTGCTTGACATTGGGGTGGGGAGAGGGGGAGGGGAGGGAAGGGGAGGAGGAAAGAAAAGTAGGGGAAGGGAGGAGGGAGGAAAGGAGAAGAGAGGAGAGGAGAGACTCAAGTCAAAAGACTCAAAGGGAAAGTCAATCAGCCCCAGGTGCCTGGGATGTTGGAACTCTTTTTTTTTTTTTAATTTTATTTACCAGTTTAAATTTAGATAAGAAACAAGGTTGCTTCACAAGTCAGTTCCAGGTCCCTCTCCCATTCCCTCCCTTCCTCCCGTGCCCTCCCCCCAACC